TGCTGTGAATTACTGGGGAGGAGTAAAGAAACCATGAAGCACAACTCTGCCTCTGTTTAAAATGCGCTGCACCCCAGACTTGCATACTGTCTAGGTTTCTTCCCCCAACTCAAGAAAGCACAGCAGAGCTGGGGCAAGTAGAGGTACAGACCCAGCAGCCTGGCAGGGGAGAAGGTGGTGATCTCTAGAGTCTGTGGTGACATGGAGAGACAAATAGTAATTGATCATTCACAGTCTCATCTTGTATCAAAACTAGAGGACACTAACAGGGGGCAAGCTCAGCAGGCAGGAAAAGTGGTGTTTTTTCTCCTGTATAGTCTGGAATTAAGTTTGGCCAAGGATGTAGCTGATGGCAAAATGCTGCATCGTTTTAGGAGCGAGAGGAGAAACACACAGAAGTCAAAACCTTCAAAAACTGGAAGAGAGCAGGTCCCCCAAGCTGCTGGCAGGTGGCTGGAAGGTGCTTGGCAGTTGTTGAGAAGCAGCTCTTACATCCCAATGCCTTTCTTTGCCCATCCCTAGGGAACTGCTGTTAGTCACTCTCAGGATCAGCATAAACCTGGACAGTCCACTCCCCTGACCTCGTCCTGTTCTTGTATCCTCTCTCCTGGCTTATCTTTTTTTTCCCTCTTTTCACTAGCTTTGAATGTGAGGGAGAGAAAAACTTAACTTTTCCTCTTGTTCATCCCATAACTTGTTGCTAAATCGCTGGAGCAAGTTCTGCTGTGTACAGCACCTCTACAATAAACATCCTCAGCTTTGCCTTATGCTTTCTGTTAAGAAAATAGGGTCAACTTCTGCCTTTGTGGCTTGTAGACACAGAGGTTTAGCTCTAGTATGTTGTCATAATACCTGTTGGCTGTATTTCTGTCCCAGCTGGCTGGCTCTGGCTCACCTTGAAGGCTTCCTCATATTCTCAGATTCTGCCATTTGATAATACCTGGGCTAGTTAAAGTAATAAATTACTTGAATTGCTGTCTGCTTTTAGATGTCCACATAACCAAGGGGAGGTGGAGAGCCATGGTGACACAGGACAGGCGTGGCACAGAAGGGGTAGTGCTGGGCACCCAGCGCCCACACGGGGGGGATGTACAGAACCCGCTTGTGAACGCAGTCTAAGTAAATGAGCATCCTGCCCAAGTCGGCAGCCTACAAGGATGATACCCGTGGTGTCGTGTGTCCAGATACATGTGCGTGTAGGAAAGAGATTTGGAAGGAGGTGTGTCCTATTCCACTGCTTCCTTTTGTCCCAGACAGGGCTGCATCAGCCAGGGGGCAGGGAGTGGGTGTCATGTCACCCCCAGTTATTGTGAGTGCAGAATGGGGCTGACGGGGACTGGCCAGGCACTGGGGAGGAGTTTGTTACTTCTGTTCCCTTCAGAAGTGAAACACGTGGTCCTTGTCAGTGTGGGACTCCTGATGGATGCTTAGTACTGATGATGGCTAGTGCTTGCTAAAATGAGCTCAGGGATAATCTGGCCCTACATAGCTATAAAAAAACAGACCATGTGACAGTTAAGTGTTACATGGTGTTTTTTACAAGCTTACTGCAAGCTTGTTTTGTTGATATTATTTTTCTGTGTGAGTCACTAAGATGTTATGGTTATTTTGTGTGGAAAAGTAATTGCAGAGGAAAAGTTTTTATTTTTCCATTTAAAAAACCCTAAGCTTTATAGTTCCACTGCTTAACAAATGTTTACTTCCTTGTTCCCTTTAAATGCATTAGGGACCAAAATTAGACAAATTTGAATATTATTTACTGTCTTTAACTCCATCACAGAAATTATGAGAAGTACCAACAAATTCTGGATGCAAGATTCACCAGCTGATTTGTGCATTGCTCACAGTCTGAGGAAACATTCAGAGACTTGCTTTACTTGTTGCATATTTAACAATATTTTTGGCATCTTGGTGTTTCATAGTTAAGTGCATTGGTAATTACATTTGCAAACTTTCTATAGCAAGCAAGCATGCATTTTAGATTAGTGCATGAAAAATTGGTTAATAAATTGCATTATCATCATATTCTCTGTGGCTGCAACAATACACGAATTCCTTCTGCCCTACTGAGGGGGACACTGTCAAATGTGCTTTGAAAAGAAACAAGTAAACCAAACTAAAGTGTAGCCTGAGATTTTATACATACAACTCTCCTGATGGCAACATTGAGATGGTGGTCCTGCTGCTACATGAATTTAACAAGTGTGCTGTGTCTTTAAAGTAGATGTGGGGACAGTTGATTAAAACCCTGTATGGTTTGGTGATGCTGAAGGGTGAAAAGTTCTTAGAACTATCCCTAATAATTTCAAGCTGCAGAAACTGGAATAGAAATTAAATAAACTGGAGACAGCTAGAATAATTCAATAAATGATCAGTCAGCTAAAGCCTTACTGCATTAATGACTGAGAAAAACATTGAGAAATCTGTAAGCATGCCAGGCAAAAATCCTGATGAGCAGTACACTGCTTGTAGTCATGTTTTTGATTGTACTAACTACTCAGATAACCCCAAGTTTAGTAACAAAAGCAAATGCAGTCAGTTTTGCTTAATATGTATATACCTAAAATACAATATACATATGATTTCTTGTGAAGTTCAAAAATTTATCTAGCCAGGCACTGGAAAGCAAATGCCAAGTTGGAAATTAACAGGGTCACATCAGTTTTAATATGACTAAGAATTCACCAGGTCAAACTGTCATGGCTACAGTGGTGGTTTCCCCACTAGAAAAAGGGTCAAATCATTGAATGACAAGGCGTTCCTCCTGGCTGGATTTATTCCATAGTTTTCAGCTGTCCTGCTCCAATGTGGAATTGCTGTGGGTTTCCTTGTAGTACAAAAGAGAGGCTCTGTCTGTGGGTGGCTGGGAAGCTCAGCTGTGGCATGTGGAGGGGCACTGTCAGTCTGCACAGAAAAGCTCTGGCTGTGCTGGCCACGGCTGCAGGCCCACAGGAGCCGTAGTGGTTTTGGTGCAAGTTGTGCTCCTTTAAGACCATAACAGTTGGGTGAGAAAAGCATCTTATCTCTGGTAACACAACAATGGGAGCACTCCACCCATAGTGGTCAGATGTAACCTCTTAAGAGCCACAGAAATTAAATTCAGCCAACTAATAAATCCACCTTTGTGGCCTGAGTGATGAGGGATTTTAAAATGATTTTGGGTCTGGTAAGAGTATTGCATTCTCTTCTGCATGCATAATGAAGCACATTCCAGCTATGTTTAACTCCAGGGTAATGTGATGTTAGTTTAAAGGAAACTATGAATTTCCTTCCTGTCTATATGTCCTTTTTCCTGGACTCTGTATTTCCAGCTAAGAACTATATGAGAACTCAAAAAAGGCAACCTGATGTTGTCCTGAGCAACTAAGAGGCACCAGATTCCTTCATTGAAGTTATGAAGTCTGGAAACAAACAAACAAAAAATGTCAAAACATCACCATCATGCTGAGGAACAAAAAATTCCTGTCCTGCCTTGAAGGAACTGTGCTGCCTCAGGAATGTAAAGCTTACAGTGACAGGAATAACCTGTACTCTGTCAGCCGTAACCAACCTTCTGTACACCTAACTAGATGCAAATGAGCTGTGTTATTTTTCTTTCTTTGTAAAAAAATACTGTATTAGTTGGTCAGTTCCAGCTACAACTCCTTTTGCAGAGTGGTATCTCAATGCATTTGATTGTGACTCTATGATTCACTTTAAAAGGGTGATACTTTCTCTCGACACAAATTAATCTTGTTTCTTCTTGCTAAGGCTGCACATATTCCCCTTGAAACTGTTCATCTATTGAAAACCTTTTCATTTGCAGATGAATTGCAAGAGTACATTGGTCCCCACTTTTATGAGTTCAAATTGATTTAAATTTAGATAATTGCAGCTGATCAGGCTAGGGGTCACCTATGAATGACAGCTGCATGTTTGGCGACAAAGAAGCTTTGCTGTCTGTCCAACAGGGACTCTGCGTGAAATCTTGGATATTTGGAGGCATTCGGAGAATAAGCGAACCTCTGCTTCTGTTCTGCTTTTACGGTCCGTGACCAATAAGAGGTCTACAGGGGTTCTGCTGTTGGAGGGGGGGCTGTTGGGAGGGGATAGCCGGGGTGTGGCCAGCCACTTGCCCTTGGCACACATGCTGCTGCAGGGCTGGCAGGGAGTACTCCTGGTGTAATGGCTCATACCCGGACGCGGTGAGGAAGAGACTGGCTGCTCCCCGTCCTGTGTGTGACACCACCAAGGAAGCAGGTTTAGCATCTAGTGCCTCAGAGAGGCCCGGGACTAATACGACCGAAGCTTATTGCTGAGGTCTTGGCACCTTTGTTAGAGGCCTCGTGCAGGTTATGCTGGCTAATACCCATGTGAAGAATAGAGATTGTGTTCCGTAAGTTTTTGGTCTTCTTACAGTGCAACTCCATTTCAGGTTGTGACAGAACACTAAATGTGGGAGTAGGACTGTCTAGTTTGTTCTGAAAAATCTCGTTGCTGCCTTTACTAAGAACACTTATTTCCATCATCTTGTTCTAATCTTACTTTACAAGGTGGGAACCATTTTATGTACTGACAGGTAGCTGTGGTAACCATCCTGGCTGTGTATATATGTGCTTTTATGGACTTGCCCTCGGGGTTTAGGCCATGTGTTTCCAGCATCACTTTCAAGGTCACTGTTAGGTTTGCAGTGGATCTGTTGTCTCGGGATTATTATTTCCTTCTAGTGGTTATTTTCCTTTTAATCCATCTTCTTTATTGTTTGTGTAGAACACCTAAAACATCATTCTGCTATACAATGTACTGCTATTTCTTCTACAGGTGTAAAGGCAGTGGAAAATCACATTCTGTGCTGGAGATCAGCGTGTGATGCTGTCCCTGTCCTGCTTGCTGATGGGCGCTCTCTGGGCAGCAGTATTTCTTACTCTTCCAGGCCTTATGCCTCCCAGAGAAGATATTACATGTTTCTACATTACATGTTTCCTATCCTTATCTAAGAGTAAACAAAACGATTCTTCCAGGTGATACGAAGAAGTAGCGACGAGGAAAAGTTGCTGTGCTTGGTACGTCAGCGTGCGGGACACCACTGTCAAACTGCTGTCATCGTGATTCTCATCCTGGCCTGGGAAGGGATCCCTCACCTCCTGGCTGACACGCTGTACAAAGAGCTGACACAGAGCCTCAGAAAGTACGGCTGTCCCACCAGCCGGAGGTGTGCGTTAAACGAAGAGTAAGTCGCTGCAAGAGTAAATGACTCGTGTTGCCTTTTGCATGCTCTGCAATAAAGAACTTGAGAGTCAATAGTTCGACTAATAAAAGAATTATACAAAAGCTCATTTAAAACTACAAACCACTAGGTGTCATTTCAGTATAGAAGTTAGTTCGTGTTTTATCCTGGAGGCCAGGTGCTAAGTAATAGTTGTACAGGCTATACCCGGGGGGGAGTGGTGCTGAATTTGTCCCCTGGCTTTGCACACACTGCCCAAGACTGTCAGGGTGCCCTTTGCATGCAGGGCTGTGCTGAAGAGCTGCTAAGAGGTGGTATGTTTTAAATAAAGGAGAGATAGAACACTCAATTAGGGTCTTACCTTCCACACCTCTAAAAGAAATGTAGTTTAATTGACTAGATTATATATTACATCAGAGGCTCTGGAACTGCCTTTGTGCTGATTTTTGGGTGGCTCACATTTAACATGTTCCGATGGCTGTACAGAGACATGAATCTAGCACTTCCGTTCTTATAGGCTTGGGCTGAGTAGCGTTGTTCCACTTCGAAAGCTAGGTCAGTCTAGAGCTAATGGTACTGCCGCAGGTAGCAGAATAATTACTGGCTTTTGGGGTAGCCTTTAGTAGCAGTGGTATTTTCTTGGGTAAAAAATTTATCCAACTGGAGAAGTCAAAATCGAAGCAGCCTGGGTATATTTTTGAAGCTGTTACTGAGCGATACCCATTTCACAGACGTGCGGCTCTGGAGAGTTGAGACTGTCTTCTGGGGAGAAATGTCAGTCCTCTACACGTGAATGTTTCCTTAGCAGAAAAGATCTGGATAAACTGTATGTTTATCAAGTCCTGTCTTCTTACACTATATATTATAAAAGAAATGGTAAATAGAATTGACATTAAAAACAAACAAACAAACAAACAAATAAACAAACAAAACAAAAACAGAAAAAAACCAGAGCAGCTGTGTTGTCAGCTGACTTTATGTGTCTTATTTCCTTTCATAGTCGTACTTGTGCTTGTCAAGGACTTGATCCAGAAACTTGTGGAGCATCATTCTCATTTGGCTGTTCATGGAGTATGTATTTCAATGGCTGTAAATTTGCCAGAAGCAAAAATCCCAGGAAATTTAGACTTCTCACTGATGACCCTAAACAAGTAAGGTTTATTTTGGTTTACTGTTTTTTTTTTTTTTCCTCCAAATACTTATTCCATGTTACTTCAGAATTAGAAATTAAATCTGTGGACATCAACTCCTTCTATCTCATGTATAGTTTATCACATAGGCACCCAACTAAATGCTTTGTAACTCTACTATTTATATTTTTTTTTTCACTGTATGAAAACTCAGTGTTGATTACCATGTACTTGAGTACCCTGAAATTGTCCTTAAATGCTTTTCTGTATGCATATTTAGCTCCACAGTGTAACTCGCTCTGACATTTTAATTCTTTGTAAGTATAAAATACAGCTAAAGTTTTTTCTAAGCACTGAACCAGCACCTCAGAGATTTAGTCCTTTTGCCATAGAAAATTTTGTACCCTGGGTTGTGCCACTTTCACTGTCTGACCACAGGGTCTTCTGTCTGCCACCCAGAACAAACTGTTTTTTCTGTGGACAGCATGTTTTTTAAATACTCTCTAAGGAGTTAATGCACTAAAATGTGATGCAGTGAAACAGCACTGAAATTGCTGCTCATGAGTGTCAGTGATGACATAAAGCTGAGATAGCACAGAAAATATGGTGATGGATTATGTGAAACAATGAACCCCTAAAAAAACCAAACCACCCCAAAATTTGTCCTTTGTATTGGGAATACTTTTATGAAGAAGGAATAAAGGAGTTGTAAACCGATAACAGCTGCTTGATGAACATACATTCCTTGCAGTAACTCAGAAGTGCTTTCTTTTCTGGCTGCAAATGTCTCTAACTCCACTTCCTTGTGGAACTTCTAGATAGGTTAGTAAAGACATGACACTTATCTGGCATGCTTTAAGGGCCATATCCTATAGGGCAGTCAGTTCCCTTGTTTGGGTTACCGTGCTGGCAGTCTTTCTCCACTCCTGAGCTCCACTGCTGCCAGCTACAGAACAGACCCAGCTGGTTGATGTCCAGACAGTAGTAGCAGAAATCTTTCACTTCTTCACGTATAGCATACGCACACACCCTGTGCAACGTGAATTGCTTCTTGGGAGAGACATGCCACTTGATTCACTGGAGCTAAGTCTGTTCCTCCCAAGTCCTATTTTTTTCCTGAAACAGTCGATGAAGCATCTTTTATGCTTACATGCATGAATGCAAACCCCTCAGTCTCCTCTGAGCTGTGCTGCCCGCTCGCCTTGTGCGTGTTCAGCGGTGTCTGTAGGGCTTGAGGCGGAACAGGGCACGCGGAGCCCTCCTGCCCTCTGTCTCGCCGAACGGATGACTAAGGCAGTACCAGATGGGAATCACTCTGCTGGTCTCGAATGCCTCCGGAGGGAATTGGTTATAGAAATTCTCAGTATATAGCAAAACACGTTCTTTCGTTTTAGGAATCCTGTTCCCCTCTGCTGTGTCCTGTGTTTTTAGGTTCTCCCCTTGCATAGCACAGCGTGTGGAGCGTTCCATGCCTGTGTTTTCTTTGTGGGTTTCTAATGGGCTTAATACCATTAGCTGGGGAACCAGCAAAGGCACCAGTCTTCATCTGTGCTGCCTGGTGAAGCGCCAGGCTGTGCCACGTCTCCTGCGAGACAGCTCCTGCAGCTCTGGCTGCCATCAGAGCGCGCTCCGGATGCCACAGGCTCTGCTGGTGGCATCACTTGCTCCAAGTCTGTCATGTAGCTAGCCCCAGCTCCCTTTGGACACTTAGTCACCACAGTGACATGCACAGCAGCATCTAGAAATGGTGCCCCACTGCTGAGAGCTGCCTGGCATGGCCTGTTGCTCGACAGGCAACTTTCAGCGTTTTGTAGAACGCCTTCTACCACAGGGTAAAAGCAGTTGCCTAAAAGAGAAGATTGCTTATGTTTTTCTAGATGTGTGATCTAAAAGCAAGTTCCCTTATTTTCCCTCTTCCACAGGAGTTGTTTTAAAGCCTGCTTGGATTCTGCCGCTGAGCAAGGGTGAGGGTGCACCCCATACAGGTGTACCCCATAACTGTGATGCACGTGCACCCTTGGGCTCCCAATGTGCAGAAGCCTTTGGCTGTAGGCAGCAGTGGTGCCTGGGCAGTTGCGGTGTGTGCAGGTTGTCACTGCATCTCAAAGAAATGAAAATTCTGGTTAATAATTTTTCTTTTAATTTGGTTTTGTCATTAATTTTTTTCTAGCAGGTACTTCTTTTAGCTAAATGTTGGATATTGATGATTTTGCAGATGACATAAAGCTAGGAGGTGTAGCAAATTAAGAAGATAGTTGGAAGTCCAGAAAGATTTGGATCATTTGAGGCACTGGATGGAGTGAGATGAGGTTAAGGGTGTAATATCCCTAGGTAAGAATAGTACATAGGATAGATAATTAAGGTTGCGTTGCCTTCAGTGCAGTTCAGAAAAACTTTTAGTGATCAACAGTTAATAAACTTGCTGGAGTAAGAGTTGAAAATGTGGTATCATCTTGTAATGTAACATCATGCTGAAAAATGTGAAAGTATCCTTATGTGTTTATACACATTGGTGTTTACAATTTATGGTGATAAACAGGGGGATTAAATAAAATAAGCTGTTATTTTTTTGTCACTATACAGCATGAAAAACTGAAGTTGCAGTTGTCTTTCAAAGCCTGGCCTGTGGAGGAAAGCAAAGTAGGGAGTATGTCACCACCCTTTTCTTTCCCAGCTGGTTGGTGATTTTCCTGGAAAAACAAAATCTAGGAAAAAAAAATAGGGATTGTTGCTATAAATAAGAGCTTAAATGTTAGGCTTCTGTAGAAGCCCACCTAGCTACTTCCATGTTCATATGGCTTATCCCATGGAAAGGAGTATTATTTCCTAATCTAGTAGATATTTCAATGAAGTCCAGAGTTTTGCAGCTCCAAAGAACAAAATATTTCCCAAATGTTTCTAATAAGAGCCTGTTGCAATGTTAGAAATGTACGTTTCTCCTTAAGGGTTCAAATTAATGTTAAATGCTATTGGGAGTTACTCAAGTGATTGAAAGAAAAAGACAACAGAAACTAAGGATTATTCTAGCAGGGCTCTTTTGGTATAAATTAAGGCCCATAAGTAGAATGCTGAAATAAGACCTGGGGTTCCATCTCCGCTTGATGTGTGGTATTTTTCTCTTCTGGCTGCTGCTTTTTTATCTTGTGTGGAACATACCTCATTCCTTCACTGTCTATGTATGGGAAGGAGGAAGTGGTGCAGGGTTTAGTTCCCAGTGTGGTGGGTTTCTTTACCCTAGCAGATGTCCTCCATTGTTACTCGGTTGACTTACGCTTAACCATTTTGGTGTTTTAGTTGTGCAGAAGTAGACTTATTTATGGCTGGTGACAAAGGGCAGTGGCACAGATGTCCGATTAACAAAATACAGGGTACAGGTAGACTTTCTTACCTTCACTGACTTGTCAGGCATCTCTGAATGGGATTAGATTCCTTAAAAGCAAATTACAGTGCTCTGAATGTTGCCTTTCTCTGCAGGAGGAACTTCTTGAAAATAATTTGCAAACTTTAGCTACCGATGTGGCTCCGGTTTATAAAAAGCTTGCTCCTGAGGCTTTCCAGAACCAGGTAGGTCTGTGACATGCAACTAGAGTAGCTGTAGCTCTGAAGAGGCAGTGTGGTTTGAACGCGAGATGAAGAAGCCCCAAAGTATGTTCATAATACCATAAAAGAGATGGTTTTACTATTTAAAGACGTGCTGGCTCTGGCTGTGCCATTACGTCGCTGAGGCCCAGCCGTGAGGGCTGCACGTCCCCTAGGAAGACACGTCCTTCCTTCCGGTCGTCCCCACCGGCTGCGCGGGGAGGCCAGGCCCCGCTCGTGGGGTTGGAGCCGCTCGCTGTCAGTCCCAAGTACCTGTAGTTGGTTTCTCTTCCAGGTGGAGAACGAGCACATGGGCCCCGACTGCCGGCTGGGGTGCAAGGACGGCCGGCCCTTCTCCGGCGTCACGGCCTGCATCGACTTCTGCGCCCACGCCCACAAGGACACGCACAACATGCACAACGGGAGCACCGTGGTACGTACGCGGCCGCGCTCGCCCCCGCCCTTCCCTGCCGGGAGTGCTGCTCGCAGGGCTAAGGGGCTGCTCCCTTTACGGGGGGCGTCTGCTGCGGCTTTCTGAGGTGTTGGGAGTTTAACCGCACGTTGCCATTTATCAGCTCCCTTGTTATTTGCACGTATCGGTTACTGGTCTGCAGAAGACATAAATTTCAGCTTCAGGTGTGGGGTTTTTGGTGTGGTTGTTGTACCAAATAGCTTGCTGGATTGTTAGTGAGAAAATCAGCTGGGAATTCCTCAGTTAAGTGATCTTTTAGAAACTGAGGCCATAGCCTTGAGGAAAGCCATGCCCAAAGGAAAAAAGATAAAACTGGCAATCTGGTGCTCTAGTAGTTAGACCATTGCAGTGCTACAAATAGCTGAGACAACTTCTTGTGCATTAGTGGAGGTACCATTCAAGAATAATTTTTCTTTCCAAGGATGTGTACTTGGGGGAAAAAAAATCTGTCTAAGATCTCTGCCTACTCTAGAAATTATAGTTTAAAATTTGGAAATGAAAATTGAATTAATGTTGCTGTGATTCAATAAAGTGTGCGTGAGTATGGTCCTTTCAAAGCTTCTGAAGTGTGGGAATTCAGACCTCTTAAACTTCCCAGATTTGAAAAAGAAACCTCCTTTTCATCACAAACCACATGGCGTACTTTTGAATAAAATTTATGCATTCTGAAAATAATATTTTGTTAAGTGCTACATGGCCTCTTAACTAAAAGACAGAATGCAACAGAAACTGAGCCTGCTACTCATTCTGCTGTACTGGATCCCAGAAAAGTCCTAAGTTGTGGCCAGAAGCAGCTGGAGGCAGTTAGCCCTTTTTTGAGGAATGTGTTGGGGAACAGTTCTATGAATATATTTATTTGCAATCAGCTGATGTTACTTCAGCTTTACATTATCCTTGCTGGTGTCAATAATTTATTTCTATGGATTGTACATGGTGTGTTTGCAAGTAATTCCAAATCCAAGCACCAGGCAAAATTGTGACCTGTGTGAGGACATTGTATAGACCAGAACTTAAAACAGTCTTTCTGTCAAGTTCTGCCAAGATGTGTGAGAATGCAGAACATTATTGAATCATAACTGCTGACAACTGTGCCTTGGAATTGGATTTTCATCAGGCAGCTCACTCATACAAATAATTATTGCATACCTGGTACTCTTCGTAGGAGACAGTTGCAACTATTAACACTCAATTCATATACTTGAATGGGGGCATTTGAAAGGTGGAGTTCAGAGATACCTGATGATCTGCACACAGCCTTGGCAGTCAGTAGATGCGTGACAGATAGGACATAGAGGGCCTGCTGTGGTACATACTGGAAGCCTAACACAAACACTCTTGTTTTGCTAACAGGGTGATAGGACTTACTGGGCTTTCTTCTGTCGAGGTTAGTTTGATGATGATCAAAATGAGGTTTGTTAATTTTGACATATTTTATCTCATGATAAAATAGGAAAACTAGTGGTAAGAACGCAAGAAGAAATAATGCCATGTTTAGTCTGGCATCTGTCTGATCACCTCCTGCATTCCCATTTAGTTCCAGAAGCTGCTTTGGCTGCCGACGTAGTTTAAAACAAGTTAAGATTTCTTATAAATAATAAAGATGAAGGAGTCATTTACATAACTATGACATATTTTGTCTGTAAAATGTCCTATGTATAATAATACATCTAACTGTGGTGAGAGCTTTCCTATAGATGATTGTTTTCTGATAATGTGGCAATAAACAGAGTAAGAATGATGTGCACTGCCTTACAAACCTCAAACGTCCATAAGTTTATTTACTATTTTTCTCTTGTATTTTGTTTACTTGATTTTTTTAAATAGTAGTCACACCTTGCAGTTTGAAGTCTGTACAAAACATACTTGTCATCTTGCACCTCATTAGTGTTGGTAAGATTTCTTCCCTTCCTACTCATTCTGACACAAAATCTCCATCTACAAAATCTAAAGTTCCTCTCAGCTGAAAAGGTTAAAGTAAATACCTTGCAGGATTTGCGAATGCTGGCAGCTCTGTGGCCACTGCCTGTGGCAGAAGTGACACCTCTTCATTTTCTCCCTTCAGCTGTTGGTGAATCACTTTTACCACAAATACGAGAGGAATGCTGCAGAGTGCGTTGAAAGTGAAGGAAAAACAGAATCAATTTAACTTATTTAAAACAGATACAGACATGAGGTCAGCAAAGCACTGAAACGAGTTTAGTGATAAGGACGGAGTTTGCTGTATACTTGAAAGAAATATATGCTCTCATGAGCTGCCAGTAACAGTTCCTTTTCTTTGTCTCTGCTGGAATTTCAGAGGAGCATTCCTGTATTTTTCTGGCGATAGGTGTTTTGATGATGAGCTGCATTATTTGTAGATGGTTCTGAAAATAAATGAGGCTCTTCGGTTTTTTTAGCAGTAGGGGGGAAAAAAGCCTTGGAAACACCTTCTGTAGATACGAGACAGAGTGGTGTAGCTTAACTCACACAGACCTGGGGATTACCAAGGGAGACTTGATTTGCTGCATGTCTTTCCTGGCTAGTAAAATCACACCTGAATTTAGCAGAGCTGCTTTTTGGTAGAAAAACTAAAAATAAAAATGGACATTCTCTGTTTGCTCTATTTGCTCAGAAGGAGTGAAAACAAGTTCTACAGAGGTGTGAACTGATGTGTTTATCTGAAAGAAGCAGAAGTAATTTCTGTGTCAAAACTGAGTTTAAGAGCCTTGCAAGGAATAAATACACCCTCCATTTTTTTTACTCTGACTCTTTTTTAATCTTTTAGCATTTGCTGAAGGGCCACTAATATACAGTACAACTGTTCCTTGTGGGTACAAGGCTAAATGAGCAACACGCAGACAAAAGCTTTGTAGTTATTAATGGAGTCTGTGAAATAGTCTTGTTTCTTTACTGGATTAATTGCAAAGGATCACATTCTTCGTACCTGTGTGAATCCGTTTAAATCATTGACATATGGGGGTTCACAGTGACAGGAGCAAAACAGTTAAGATTCACTAGTGGTGCAGCTTGCATATGTGTGTTTCTTATCCTTTTTGATGGGGTTGAGGAAGGAGAGAGACTGGATGCATTTGGATGCCATGGTTGGTGCCACATAGTCTGTAGCAGGCACTGTAGAAGAAAGCAAGCAAGATAAATTATGCTTCAAGGGCAGGTACAATATTAAATTGATTATTGGCAGCAGAACTAAGTAGTGTCAATCAGCAATCCAGCAAGGAACTGTTCCTGATTTAGTTAAAAAAAGGAATCCTCTCTTTTCCCAATGACTTGCTGTATTTCTGTAGTTAGGGCTCATCAAGACACTGCATATAGGCTTTGCAATAAATGCAGATGTCTCTGTGACTGGCCAGGGAGTGTTCTGGACCATGCCCACAGCTTGCTTTGTCAGCAACAGAAGTCCTAGATGCTTAAATTCGTGGTTCAGATTATAACAAATACAAGAAAAGATGAACCCCCAGGGCTGTAAAGGAAGGATTTTTGTGGCTGTGCTTCATTGTGAAAACGGGGAACAATTAGAAGCTTCCCCTGCTAACCTGAGAGCTCCCAGGCAGTAGTCTGTGTGTGTTGGAGCATAGGGCACAGAAACGCTGTCTGATGGCACTGCCCTTGGGCATACAGTGGTCAGAGGGGCAATACGTTTGGGGCCCCCTTCTCCGACTGACGTGCTTGTTCAGGGTAGAGCAGGCCGAGCTAACGACAGGGTTTGTCTCAGCTGTCAAGGCAAAGCAGTGCTGCTCCTGTTTGTCATGGGAAGCAGTGACACAGCAGCACCTCAGGGTCCCACACGGCACCCACCCATCCTGCTTCCAGCTGCAAAGGAATGAGTGCTTTGCACTCAAAAAAATGAGTGCAGGAGACCTGATTCAGTCTTACACGTTGACAGAGGCAGTTGCACTGCTTTGCTGAAACTTGAATTTCAAACATCTGTTTTTAGGACACAGTGGAAAAGGCTATGTCGTTTCTGCATGGGAGGTTCAAGAGGACGAAGGCAGATCATAGAGTCCCAGAATGACGCGTTGGGGGCTGTATGGCTACAGATGTTTCTTTGGAGATGTGGGAGGGAATTTCATTGAGTTCATAGATGCGTTTTCAGTTTAAAAGAAAAATAAAGTTTTACAAATACGCAAGTTTTACCATGATGTCACTAAACCCAGAATAGGTAATGGGTTTGGTCACCAAGCATACTGGAAACCTAAACAAACCACTTGGCCAACATTTTCTTTGGCTTTTGGGCATCCTGGATGATGTAGCTGCATGTTCTGGAAAAAGTATTTAGAGTAGCAGGATATGCAGCTTCACTGTGTAAACCAGCTTTAACAGAGTCCATGATTTTCTCATGATCAGTTTTAGTCACTTTGCAGCATAGTATCAGTACCAATGGAAAATGTTGGGTTTAACTCTTCCACGATAGCTCCTCTTTACATTTCTTAATGGAATGTTTTGCATAGATTTGAATATTGGAATGGCTTTTGAAACTGATATTTCTCATTTGGTGGATTGCTCTACTTCAGCTATAAATTGCTAGCTTATCTGTAGGGCCTTATTTATAGCAGCTTTCCCTGTAACATTGAACTTTTCAGTTATCCACTTGCCATTGTGCCCTTCCTTTTATATTAAAACATATTATTGACAATACTAACCTTGAAATTTTAAATATATTAAATTTGCTGTTATGCTGTTTAGGCTGCAGGTATATGAGTCTTCAGGGTTTTAACATGTTTTTTAATACATTAATTTCTTAATTTTATGTATTCTAACTCAGTATTTAATATATCATGTGTGTTGGAGCTGACTTTCAACATAGTTCCAACAGTTTCTTCAGTTCCTCAAAATGTTTCTTTAGCTTTCTTGTTCTAAAGAGGGTGTCAGCTTTGTGATAGTGACAAATACTCATTTTTGCTTAAAAAAAGGTTTTCTTCAGCCAATACGAGCTTTGGTTTTTTGTCTCTGCTTGTATGCTCCCCCTAGGCCCCCCTATGCAGTGTAGAGCTCATCTACCTTTGCTTAATTCTAAGTCGGATGAAAGATGATGAATGCACTTTCAAGAGTAAATGTTTTTATGGTGGAAAAGACTAAAACTAATAAATGTACAAGATCACTTTTCCGTGAAAGCATCTGGTGAATTGGATGAAGGTTTAGAACTGTAAATTGGCTGAGGGTCTCAATTTTCAAAATCAGCAATATTGTGGATTGAATCTTTAGGAGTTGTACATAATTCCAGGTCCTGGTGCAGGTTGGACAGAGTATTTCAAATGACAAGTGAGAATCAGACAGTTCCTCTTGAGATCCGTGCTTGTTGTTTTGGCACTTGGTTTTGGTTTAGAAGGGGAGGATTTGCTGGGCCTTCCCAGTCATGTATCATTGTGTTCTTTATACATCACATCCTCTTTCATCCTTCCTGAATAACACTTGAGTCTGCTGTCAGATTGCAACCAGATTTCACTGAAATTGGCAGAAACGGAATTGTCTTTGGAGATTGTAACCTCTTGTTTCAAACTGTGAAATTTCATTGCTGACTGGGGAGAGGGGTCCAGGTGAGCTCCTCTGTTGAGGAGGTAGCAGCATCCTCATGGTCATGGCCACAGGTTAATCCGTGTGCACCCGGTAGCCAGGAGGCATCAGTAGGTTCAGCTGGGCCCTGCTTCCACTGGCTGGTGCCCATCAGAGGAGGGAGCAGGGGAGAGGGGTGCTGGGGTTGGGCACGTGGGAGTGTGGGGATGGAGAAGTCCATAGGGAACCAGGCATCCTTCACTGCTCATGGAACAACTTGTTGTTTTTTCTGAATCTCCCTCATAGTCCAAAGGCTGCCCAGTCGAGGTAAGTACGCACGCATGGAGCAAGTCCAGCAGTAAGTGCTGCTCATCAGCTTCTAATTGCCCCTTCACTTCGCCTTCTTAAGAGCCCTTTTCTTGATCCTTTCAAAATGCCACCTGAAAAGCTCCTCTCCTTTGTCTCTGTCCCTCAGATTTTCTCCTTCTGCTGCTCTGCAACTGTCCAGCTTTGCATATAGCTATTTATAAAGCCTTAACCACCACCTTATTGATTTAGGATTTTTAGTTTGTGACTGTGTAATTCTATTGTTCTGGAAATAATTGTGTGATGCCTTTATGTGATGCCTTTATGTGAAAGCTGTGCTATAAAATAAAAAATGTTGGTTTTCCCCCCCCCCCAAAAATAATAATAATAATAATACTATTCTCCCCTGGAATGTTAGCCATAGTGACAAGATCCTGGGAAATTTGGTGAACGGTTTGTGATAGGTGTCACATTCCGCCTACACACTGATGGAATGATAACGTTTCTGTTCAGGGAGTATCATCTCATCCTTGGATGGTGCTCAGGTTCCTGTGAAATGTTGTGCAGCTTGTAACTCCCTGTGAAGCAGAAGCCTAACTGAGCCGTGGCGTTAACGCACGGCTTTCTAGCGAGCCCACAGATTGTTGTGAACACCCCCAGTCTCACAGGGACGTGACCAATGCAAGTGTAAATGACATGACTGCTTGCACACTTGCTCCTACACGTACAACTTTCACCATCCCTTAGGGAGCACAGAATGAAACCAGGAACCATGTTGCTGATTTTAGCACTGCTTTTAAGGTGAGGGATTGGTGTTGATAATGGCAGGAACTTTGAAACTGGTGAAAATTTTAAGTACTGCAGATGTATAGCAGTGATTTAGGAAAATGATAATAAGCGAAGTGTGGGGATAAGTTTGAGTACTTACCTACATGTCTGATGTGCCTTTACCAAACCGGATCCAGCAGGCATTCTCTCACAACACACAGTGGGTCAGTGGCCTAGAGTAAACCAAACGTTTGCTGGGTCTTGTGACTTTGTTACAGCAGAGAGGCAGAGTTGGGAAAGGGTGTTGGTTTAAGGAAGTCTGTATAAAGAGAGAGCTGTTAGAGCTGAGATTTGCTCAAAATATAGAGCAGTATGAGTAACTGTTTTGGTTGGTTTATTTTTTTCATTTGCCAACCAAAAGAAAGAACTAAATTAGTTCCATATCACAGAAACTTCTTGTTCTATCAAAAAATAATATTTTCTTTTTTCATATTTTTGAGTCCTTAAAAATGAATCTGAATATCAAATATGTTTTTTAAAAAACAACACAAAACACAACACAACAACCTGCTTAGGAATTTACAGTATATTTACAGCTCAGATTGTTTACCAAGATGACATACGTTTGTGGAGAGCGTAAATTGAGCCAAAGTTTCATTTTTCCTGTCCAAGATGTGCCTTAATCTTATTCTTCAAGTACCAATAATTTTTCTCAATTATCATAAATCAAATTAAGTACTTGTCAGATATTTGCATTCGTAAGACCCATAGCATTGAGGGCATAAAATACGAGAAAACAATGAAGTCCAGGATGACTGCTTAAATATTTAGATAACTTTTGTGGTTTATGTATGTGGCTGTATTTGTAAATGTCTCTGTCCTTGCCAGGTCTGTACACTAACGAAGGAAGATAACCGGAGAGTGGGGGTGATTCCCAGCGATGAACAGCTCCATGTGTTACCTCTTTACAAAATTTCACAAACAGATGAATTTGGCACTGAAGAGGGACTGGAAGCTAAGATAAAAGCCGGAGCCATACAGGTGCTCACAGCTTTTCCCAGGGAAGTGCGAATGTTGGCTGAGCCACTCAGAGCTACAAAGAAGAAGAAACCAGACACAAGGAGGACCCCGACTGAAAAGCAGCCATTAATTGATAAAAAATACTCAACACCAGTCAAGCTGAAAACTGAGGCCCCAGAAAATCTTGGCAACACTTTGCATTGTTTAGGTGAGTGGTGCTTATTAAATTCTGCCCCTCTTTTCTGAAACTGTGTTGCCTCTTGCCTCTAGTAGGGGAATGAAAATGTCCTGGATACTCGGTTTTATCAAATACTTGTATGTTCTGCATTTTAGGGGCTGATGAGCAAGGCAATATTCTCTCTTGGCACAGGACAAAAAAAAGGTTGTCAGTGAAAAATAAGTTTGTGGTGGTGCATGAGCACTGGTGAAAGGTTTCCAAGTTCCCTTACTCTAATAAATAATGGTAGTAGGATCATCTTGAAATACTGTTGTAGGAATGTTTATCTAATAAGCAAGGTGAATTTCTGTCATTTGGAAGTACAGGAGCTGTGTTACGCACTTCCTGTGCAAGACAATGGCTTTCTCAGAGCTGAGGATAATTTCCTGTTGATGGCATGGATATTGCAGCAAAGCAGTATCATTTTGTGAAAAAATTCACAAAAAACCACCAGATTTTATCAAATAAGGCAATGCTTCTCAAATTGTTCCTTGAAATATTATTAGTGAGGGCCAGAGAGATGGTCTCTGTTAGCATCTGGGCAAAAGGGATGCCACGTTTGTTCTGCTACAAGAAGGTTACTACAGCCAGAGTCTTCTGTTTCAAGACATGTTTGTGCAACATAGAACTGCAACTTGGCTGTGCTCTGTGGAGGAGCTTCAGGTCCATGCTGTTGTACCTGGGGTCAGGTTTTGGACCCGTCCTTCAAAGGATAGAACTGTTCTGTGGGACTTTGCAGTAATGAGAAGTAGAAAAGAAGGAAGAGGTGCAGGAAGCCATGGACTTAGATTCTGTGATTAGAGGGGGGAAAATAGATAAAAGGAACTAAAGCATAGCTTAAAAGGAATAAAAGGCATTCAAGCACTGCCTATCTACCTTTCAGGAAGAAAAGAGGAAAATTATCCAACCTGCTATGATTTTGAATTTTATATCATGAGAGACATACAGCTCTATATAATAGATTTAAGTTAATAATAGTTAAATAATAATTAAAAGTATTTAAAAGAAAGCCTGCAGTTTAGGGGGATATAGCTTTTAAAAATATAGATCCACGGGAGACATTTTTGTAATTTGCACTCAGTAGCCTGCTTTGTCTCAGAGAAGTTAAGGCAACCAATGAACGTTGCATGTAGCAGATGGAATAAGAAAAGAAAAGCAGTAGTATTGACCCCCCCCAGGAAATTAGACAGGCTTTCCATTAATCTACATGCACGTTTTGGGGAGACAGCTCAGGCTTTGAAACAAATGTGAAAGGACTCCTCAAGTTGAGGTGACACCCAACAGTAACTCTGAAGCAACGATTAATAATTTCCATCGTGCTCAGGGTGGACTGGAAGTCCTGGGAGCATTAGAGGGCTCTGGTTTGGGAAGGAATTCTGAAATTGTCTGATCTCACTGGAAAGCTGCTTTGAACCATCAAAACGAGTTGCAGACCACCTCCCTGCACATGACATGGTGGTTACAAATTGGCATGGCTTCGATACCTGAAAACTGTGCCTTTGGCAAGAGGTGCAGTACCCAGAGCTTTGTGATATGCTTTGGGAGCACAGCACTTCATTCCTTCAACGTGTACAAATAAGAAAATAACTGTGTAAACGAGTCAACTTCTATAGTATGTTTGGACTTCAAGTATTTTGGTAATCTAAAAGGGCTGCTGAAAATAGTAAGTCCCAGAGTGAGGCAGGAATACTTTTATAAGCGAGAAAGTTGTTCAGAGGTGGAAAAATAAGAATGTGAATAGAAATATCTGATTTCTATCATAAAAGTGCAGGGTTTGTCATGGAAGTTCTGATAGTGGAATCCCTCAAAATAGATGCTGAACCTGTCAGCCCCAAGTCTGCTGATGGCACGTGCTGCTGCCATTGGCCATGTGAAACCTTTTGAAGAGGCTTCGCTCACTGGGCAGGTTTGCGAAGGGCGAGGCGGCGTGCTCTGCAGGAGACAAATGAGCTGTTTGGGGGTTTGCTCATACTGGACAGTGGCTCGGTGAAGTCCTGAGCACACTGCTGCTGCCTGCCCCTAACCCGCAGTGAAATGCAAAGTTTTGTTAGTTATGGATTTAGAATACTACAGCATTGTACTTGTACGTACAGGGTTTTTGTGATGATAGGGCATCAGTCATCTATTGGCTCTTTCCATCCTGCCAGTGGTGGGTATCATTTTAGTCCTGAGGAATGGAAAATTTTAGTCTAGCTGAGACTTCATAGTAACAGTGGCATTCAATTCTGGTCACGCCATTTAAACATAAATGACAAAGGATTGAAAAATAGTTACCAAAAAAAAATAGACAAGCTTCCCTAGGGAAGAAAAAAAAAATACTGACTACAATTTTAGGTAAGCAGTGATTAAAGTAGTGCTGAAGTTACGTTAAGCCAGTCAGATGCTACTGTTAAATTTTCTAATGTAAGAGCAAAAGAAAATTTTGCTACACTTCAACTGTAAAGGACAAGATATTGGTAAATGGTGTATGTACTGTATAGTACTTGATTTACTAACGAGGACTTTAGAATATTGATTTGGGTTTTTAAATATTAAAAAGAATATAGAGAACGTGCAGACAGATGAGACAAGACACCCGTGGTACGTACTGTCAGCCATGCTTTTCGCTCCGTGCGGCTGCCTCTCTTTGCAGTATCCTGGCTCCTCGTGGAGGAGCCCCAAGGCCAGCCAAGCCCTGCTGCCCATTACATAGACCTAGTAAGTTCTCTTGAAGGAGACCTGACTGTCATTCCAGAGCCACTGCAGTATCCCCCAGCTGTAAAGTCTGAGATATCCCTCTAACCTGTGTCTTCATCACATGGAGAACTGGAAGTTAAAAAGGGGATCAGAGGACTCTCTTTACTTGTGTTTACCTGGCAGCAAAGATGGTGGTGGGGAGGACCTTCTGAATGCTGAACACAGATTTGGTTGCCTTGGTAGGGTGTGCATGTATGGAGACTTGGTTTAAATCTCAGCTGTGCAAGTCCTTTGTAGAAATGCTGTGTATTAAATAGGTTGCACTTGTCACACATCTTTTGGCAACAGCAAGCAGCACAACCATTAATTTTACATTTGTGCTAATGCTGAGAGCCTTTGAAGTCCTTATTATGACATACATATTATTAAAGATTTCATATCCTTCCTTGTATAGTCCTGTCATTAAACCACATTATTCTGGACAAATAAACTTTACAGACAAAAAGGTTATTCCTGTCTCCATAAATACTAGCAATTCTTCTTGGCCTGTGTTATATAGAAGAGAGGAACCACCAACTTAGAGGCAGTTTCTCAGCTGGCCACTTCAGCCAGCAGTTCCCGTGGAGGTGTACAGGAGGTGTTCCTGGTGAGCAAAGCCACCTTGTCTGAACCATTACTCATTTCCCTCTACCCATACGATTGAATTAATTTCTCTTAATGTCTGCTGCCTTGCCCTGCAGAGCAAAGCACTCTTCTGGTGAGAGATGGGGAATTTGCTGCAGCCCTGGTCATCTTGAGAGTGACAGGGGCTGTTAAAACTTATTTTCCAGAGAATGTAGGTCTTTCTCTTCAGAGGCAATAGAAATAGCTCAAAAGCTGCAATTCAAATCTTTTGGAGGAAGGCCTTTGTGTGGGGAGGTGTTCTTAATTAAATTAAATGCTCTGAGTTTGATTTCATAGGAAAGGTTTGTAAAGAGTTGATGTGATTTCCTTATGTACCTGCACAACTTCAGTGTTTACGTGCTAAATATTGTGTCCTTAACTTATCCCACTCTGCCTTTACTGCGTTCCTATTAAAATAATGTTTTTTTAATCCCATCACCATTTATAAATTATTAGAAGACAGAATAGAAGAAAGAACAGTTATTCTGTGTTCGGTAAAGCAATTAAACATTCTGTGTATTTATGGAACAAAGAGACAACACTGACAGAGACAGTCTTTTATGAGAACATGTGAGAGGTCTCTGTGGGGTGCCAGTTTGCCAGCCAAACACACGTAAAGCAATTTCAGGGCATGATGCAAAGCCCATCAAAGTGGATGGAATTCTTACCCATTACTCCAGTGGACTCTGGATTGAACTTGCCCATGACAAGAATGAGTCATTTGAGGAGACTGTTCCACAAACAAGCACAACTGCAGGGAGCCAGGCCTGGAAATTGATTAGGGAGCTGACATAAATTGAACAAGCCTGTCTCCACAAAGGTCTGGAATAATTAATGTGTGGCAATTAGGTGGAAGACAGCCAGATTGGATGGTGCAGCTTCCTAAGGATGGATTTACTGCGAGTATGTCGACAGGTCCTTTTTGTGTTTTAAAGCAAATTTCTGAGTAGTTACTTGCTAATGCACAAATCATTCTAATTTAGTAACTCTTTTTGCTGCAATGGATGACAGACAAGATCTAGAAACAAGCTTTTTCGTTTGATCATAATATGGGCCGAAGGAAGCGAAGAATTTTGATTGTTTCATAAGGCTTAACTTCAGAAAGACTGAGTTTCGTCAGTTGTCACAATTAGCACAATTGCGCAGTGCTTTCTGCTAGCCCGGGCAGTGCTGAAGGGCAGCAGCCAGCTGCTGGGAAGCACTCGTGCAGAACTATTTCATTCTATTCCATTGAATCTGTTTTTTTTATTCATCCCTCTGTGAAATACCTTTCTATTTTATATGCCAACAGTCTGACTGGAAAAGGTTAAGGTCTTAATTCAGCAAGGCTATTACATGTGTATTTAGAGTCATGGAGATATTCCCAAAAAAATAAAAATTTAAAAACAAACACAAACCCAAAACACATTTTGAAAAATTTGTAGTCGTCGTGTATATCTTTTGCATTAGAAAGCAAGTATGAAAACATTACAAAAGGTACATTTTACTAAGTGAGGAAAAGTATACTTACACTTTGGTTGTATTTTTTTTTATAGGGAACAAAACAGATGCTTTAAAACCTGGAATAAAAATGGAGGCTTCCGATCACCTCTACGCCATGAAACATACTTCAAACACTACTAAAAATTGCTCCATATTAAAACAGTATACGGCGTCCTCCCCTTTCAAGGTGGATAGTTTACATCCTTATTCCTCGTTAGCACATCAGCCTGGCATAACAGCAGTGACCAATATTCAACAAGATTTTTCAGTTCCCTACGGGTATTTTGAATGCAGTAGCAAGCAACCTCACGTGACACCTTATGTTAGTTGTAAGAACTTTGATGTGTCGGTCAAAGATTATACTGGAATTTTGCTGAACGATAAGATGAATGGTGTGCCACCGATTCTTCCAGAGGTCTCTGCGCCAGGCCCCCCAGCCCATAAAGACCCCCTGCCCACTATACTTGAACATCAGCCAGAGAAGCAGAATTGCCAGCTGCAGGCGGACAGCGCTCCCCCTTCGCAGGCGACGGGCTCTCGCGATCCGTCGGTACCGCCCGGCTCTCCGGCAGAGGATGCGGTGGGACACGAGGCCGACTGCTCCCGGGGGTGCCCGGCGGAACAGGGCAGCGCCCATCGAGAACAGACGTGTGGTTTTGACTGTGCTGACGAAAAGCAAAGCAGTGCACTGGGCCAGCCGACTGATTCGGAAGAAAAAGCTGAGGAAATGTGGTCAGACAGCGAGCACAATTTTTTGGATGATGACATTGGCGGCGTTGCCGTGGCACCTTCTCATGGTTCTATCTTAATTGAATGTGCGAGGCGTGAACTCCACGCTACCACGCCTATCAAAAAACCCAACCGCAATCATCCCACGAGAATTTCTTTAGTTTTCTATCAACACAAAAATTTAAATGAGCCAAAACATGGTTTAGCCATGTGGGAGGCAAAGATGGCCGAGAGGGCGAAAGAAAAAGAAAAAGAAGCAGAGAGATCGGGAGCGGAGAACAGTGAACTAAACTCTAGCAGCAGGAAAACAAAGCAAACAAGTGAAAACAGAGATCTTTTTTATGAAGACAATGAGTTCAACCAAATTCCATCACGCCGAGCATTAACAGTAACTAAGGATAACGTAATAACAGTATCTTCCTACGCCCTGACGCGAGTGGCGGGGCCCTACAACCATTGGGCATAGGTTTGGTATCGGTGCCTCCTCTTGGTGCAGTGTTACACAGTGTTTCTTTAAGGTGCTGTTAAAGAACAAGTCTCGTGTCGTTTACTATTTGCTCATCTCAACCATTTTAAGGCTGAGGTAAAAAAGGGGGGGGATTTCTTCTTAAACTGTGACTTTAACATTTGGTGGTGCTCAAGCACATTTTAAGCAAAAAAGAAAAAAAGTTGTATAGTTTTAATACATTCTAAAAAAGATTTTGTTTAGGTTATTAACCTTGATTGAATCATTCAGTTTATTACCTTTAGGAATTTATATTTTGGTGCTTTAAATCGAGTCTGTTTACTACAAAAATCATTTATAGGGATTTTAACAGGTTCACATTTTATGGTGTTAAATCAAGTTATACAGTAATAGCTCTACACAGCTCTTGGTGCTTAACCACATCAAACAGTTAAAATAAATAAGCTGAATTATTACTTCATGGTGCCATTGCTTTAACAACTTCCAACCATTGCTATATTGTCCAAATTACAGATAAATCTTTTAGAAAACCAATGATTTTTTTTTTTCCTCTAGAGTCGTCATTATGTATGAAATGAAGTTATTGGTAATGATGGCTGGAAGTTGTTTTTAAGCTGTAAATATATATTTTAAAAGCACTTTCTATTTTTAAAATTAACTTGAAATAGTATAGTATAAGGATCATATTGTCTAAGGTTTGTGCATACTCTACAGAAGAAATCATTTTATTCTTGCTGTGTAGAGTTCCATATTGTTACAGCTGCAGTATGTATGCTAATAGCATATGTGATTGTTTTTAAACTTGCCCTTTTTCATCAAAGATTTTATGTTGCATATAAACAACAGTTATAAAGGACAGAAGCATTTTATGATTTTCAAGAGAGTGTACAAACAATGAATTAGGAGATGTCTTGTCAATACGTGTGTCGCTGTGGGGAGTTATGAATATTGTTTGGGTTTTTAAAGGCAGCATTTGTTATGATTTCTTTGAGCAATAAGTGCATAAGTCTCATTCGTTTGGAGCATTATAAGTTAACATGACAACCAAATGTTCCTAATGCCTCAGGGGTAGGATTGTTTTGGGATTAAAAAAATACCCCCTAGAGTTGCCTTATTCTATTCTGGAAAAAAAAATAAATTGGAAAATACAGAGGAAGTGTTGGAAAAGTAGGAAATTTAAATGTTGAACAGCAAGTTTTTCATTAAGAGTAACCTATCTGTAACATTCACCAGCTTTCTAAGTTCAGTTTTTTTACAAAAATGTTTTGTAAATTTTTAAAGTGATTTTTACATTTCATGTAGAAAGGGTTGTATTCTTCCTTCCAAACATATGAAATTTATGTTCTCCAATTCTGTTGAAAAAGTGACATATCATGAAATGAGTATTTGCTAAACCAGAGGAAAAACAGACACTCCATTGCTTATAAATACTGTAGCATCCCACTCTTCTTTCTGATTCTCCTCTCCTATGTATTTCTTTTTAAAACTTATTTATTTAAACAAATTACCAAATGACCATGTTAGCTAAGGACCGACCTCATCCTGCATCTTCTCCCGTGAGAACAGCTGCATAGCCATACCTGCCCAGGCACCGCCGGGGGGACCGCTCAGGCCACGGCTCCTCTCGTGACTGAGAGCTGCAGGATCAGGCCCCAGAGATGAAGCTGTACCTTAATTCTGCCTCGGAGTCCTCCCTGCCCAAGTAACCTGTAGGTAGAACGAGGTCAGAGTTTTCCAGTGAGAAAATGTACTAAAAATATACTTGATAATAGTATAATGTAGTGGTGCTGTAACAGAGGAATACGAACTATCTACGTCTGCTTGATTTAAACCTAGACAAGGTGCTTTTTCCTTGAGGAGTGGAACTGCAAGCGCTGTGCTTACAGTTTGGGTGCGAGAAGGACACAGATTGTATTTTCAACACCTAGTGCCAGTGAGGACCTTGGTGCTACAGCCACTTCCCTGCGGCTGTGGGCGGGGCGGCCGAGCTCCTGCAGGGAGACGCCCGTGCGCAGCCTTCGCAGGAGGGCGGCCCGAGGTAGCAATCGCTATGGAATGGCCTTGGGTCCCATTCTGCAGATTCCTGTCGAAGCGAGCAAAAATGTTGATGGCCAAATTGAACCCGTTCTTTGTATCTTAACCTATTTTAAGTAAATTTGTAAAAACCGGGTATGCTGCAAATTTAGTTCAAAGCTTAATATTAGTTCAAATAGAGGATATGAAGGGATTGTAAATAATAATAAAACAAAAACAATATTATGCCATCGTTTTGTACCAGCAGTTTTATGCTTCTTGACTATGTAATATACAGTATACATCAAATCATTATGGTATTTTGTGTGCCTTAGATTTCCATTTTAAAACTTGTATATTTTTGGTGAGCCGAGGATTAGTAAGAATTCCAGCTGTCCCTACAGTAATGACGTAGTCCTGTACGCTCTCTAGCTGTTCCACTCATGTATCTGCTGGCTGAAAACCCTTGTCCCGTGCCACTGTCCATCCTTTATAGGACAGATCAGTTTATTGGTGTCACTGATAGTGCTGATATCTCTGGTTTGTATAAATGCAAATTGGGAAAAGTAAAGAAGCCACATTTATTGTTCAGCACTTCCATGTGACTAACAGTTTTTCTACACAGAAATAGTAAGTACAGAGCCATCTCTTCACCCTTTAAAAGGTTCAGATCATTAAAGCAGATAATTTTTACTTGAATCTTCCCCTATAAATGCCCTCGTTTAATGTATGTGTGATTGGAAACTTCAAGATTAAAATGTTTCATTGAAGAACCAGCAGCTTCTCTCAGAGAACTGAGAAACTGAAAGGTGGATCTGAAAAGATACCTCCAAACATAGCCCCTGTCAAGTTACTGCACAAGTTACCCCAGATCTACCTTTTTAGAAATGGCAATTTTAACACAGAAAAGTGTGTATTAACATCCTAGTTAATGCCATTAATAGGTGCTAAAACTCACAGTTAACTACTCCAAAAGATTACTTACATGAGAAAAAGCTATCATCTATACAATAAAATATCATTTTGTGGTGCTCTTTCCGTGACTGTATCTTCAGCACGTACCTAAAGGCAGGCCAGCCAGCTGCTTTTGCTGCCTGCTATGGCATGCAGCAGATTGCCATTTGAGAAGCTAATATTTTCTATTGCTGTACTCCAGTGTAGAAAATGCAACTATTTACTGTTTTTACAACTGCGTGCTATTTATTGTAACATTTCAGAATATTTATCAGTCTTGTACGCAAATTATGGTTATTTGAGTAAGGTTATCATTACATAACAGTATTTGTCTCTTAAAACTTGCAAATCCATGGGTCTACTGCTTTCCCTTGCAGCCTACACAACCACCTGTAATTTGTTTTTACCCCTGAACAAAGTCCCCCCAGGATGGCCAGATCAAGAGCCGGATGTAAATTAAGGGAGCAGGCTAGGTCAGACCTGGATTTTTCACCTGGCTTCCACTCTGGTGTGGGTGAAATACCACACTGGTGGTGGGCTGTGTTTGTGTTCTGATCCTTTTTCGCAGCAGGCTAGCAAAAACTGTTGTGATCCAGCATGGGACACCTGAATTCTGAGAAAAAATGGCTCATCCCATCTCCACTGGGTCCAGGGAGGGAAGGGGAGGAACAGCGCTTTCTGCAGGAGCCCCTTCTGTGTGACCCCCTCGGGTCCTGCTGGGGGTACTGCAGTCGTGCCCAATTCAATAGGGAATTTTATGTGCAGTTTCTCTGCACTTACTGGTTTATAATGTGATGTACAATTACAGAAAGTAGAAAAAAATATTTCTACAAATATTTTAGTCACATGACCAAAAAGGTTTTTTAAGAACTAACAAGTACTTGTGACTTTCTAGCTGTAACAGTTGTCTTCAGATTTATTGCTTGTAAGGACTTTATAAGCTAACTTTTACTTAGGAGTAACTGCTGTTAAAAGTCCTCATCTCACCTATGACTGCTTCTCTGTACCTAGAAAAGCAAATAACTGTAGTATCTTAAGCAACATTTTGTTAAGCATGAGTAAATGACAGTTTCTTTAGTACTTAAGATTATTTGTAACATACAACTATTTGGGGTCTTTTAAATACCTTTTTAGTATCATTGCAGTATTATACTAAATTTACTGGGTTAAATTTTGGTCCTGTTTACGTTGCTGCAGCCCCACTGACTGCAATGTGCTCTTTTGACAAGCTTTCATGCAAATATTCATCTTTAACTGGATGGGTATGACTAACAGTCAACTGAAGTCTGTGCCAACCTGGACCCTCACAATTAATAGGTTTTGCAAGGACAGATGGAGAGAGATTTGGAGTAAATGTTTTGCTTTTGGTTAAACACAGAGATCACAGTGTTTGTAGCATGAGAAGTGATTCAGGGTCTGTGGGGAGCCATCATATCTTCACTTCCAGTTCTAGCCACGCAGGCAGGTCTATTCCAGACCACCTTCAGGCTTATGCTTTTGACAGCTCTTGATTTTTCCTATCTGATAGGTTGTTAAGTGAGAGATTAGCATGGAACCATTTCAATAAGTCTGCATCTTCACGGTTTTATGTCTGAAACACAAGGTCAGTCTTGCCCTTTCACTTCCCACAAAATTTCTCTCATGTGAAATTAGCTCCTTTTCTCAAGCAGTCATCAGCTTTGTAATCCATTTTATATATCATTTTTCTCTTCATTTTTCTTCCACAGAAACCCTGTAATTTCTAGGTTAATAGGAGGAAATAACTGTGCCTTGAGAAATAAGAAAAACTCAGTTGTATGTCCACTTCCACACTTCATATACGTTAACAGCAATTGCATTCAGGCAGTGTTGAACAAACTCTTTCAAGTCTATTGTGGTAGCTGAAATTCAAATTCAGATTAGATTCTTTGTGACTTGTCTTCCACAAAACTGTGGTTTATTTCTTGTGTGAAAAGTGTCTGCCCAGCTGTGACCCATGGTGCTGTCCATGAACTGATATTAAATAACACAGGGATGAGGAACAGTCCAATCAG